CCACAAGGTGAATGCTGTACCCTCTCTATAATGAGTTAAGCAAGAAATAGGTAAGTGTTATTGCTATAGCCTGTGTCAAGTGATAAGTGTCTATCCACTCCTGGTTAATTTTCAATGAAGATGGGTGGGAAATTCTGATTAGAATGTTGCTTAGTAAAGGTGTCTGCATCATGCAGGGCCTGCTTAACAGGGGTCTCACCATAAGAAATTTTAGTAGGACAAACTGGAAAAACTGATGTGTTTTGGTGTTTCTTCTTTTTAGCTTCTTTCCCACCTCTATGAAATAAAAGCCTAGAATATTTTGCGAAGCACCTATTGAAATTAATGTGAATTTCAGTAAAGGCAACTGAATTAGCCTTCTGAATGGTACGTCTTGAGGGAGGTTTCCGTAGTGGATGGGCATGCGATTTACTATGGCTTACTTCAAAGTATAGAAAAGATAATTATAACAATTTTGTCATATTGAATAGAGCTATGGTATGTTACAAGGTGTTACCTCTGAGTTGGATCTGTTTCCTGCAAGAAAAGAGGAAAATAAGTAAAGCATCACGAAGTAAGTAGGTGTACACTTGTATAGCATTAGTTTGTAATTCGTACATTTTAAAGAAAGTTAATTGTCGTTTTAAATTAGCTTTCAAGAAATGAATTTGCCATAGAACCAGAACGTTTTCAACTAAGTGCTTTGTGGCTATCACCTTACGAAATGGCAGTCAGATTTTTTTCTGGTTTGAAAATTTATTTGAGAAAACTGGAGACTTTGGATTGTATTTACAACATCTTAAGTCTCCGTCTTTAGTTAGGTGAGCTGGTGCGAGTTTTTTCGTTAAAAAAATAGATGCCCTTTTTTCATTTATTTGTTTTTATAATTGAAAGACTCACTCACCATTGGTTGTTGGTCACTTGCCATAGCTGTCTGAATGAAAAAAATTGTCCGTTTTATCAACAAGCATTAATTTTCTTACGATTTCAGTCAAGCTACTTTTTAGAATCTTTTTCCTATTGATCTTGCAACATGAAGCTATCTCTTAATCATAAAATTCGTTTCCCAATTAATTTTCATGTCTCATTTGACAAGTGATTGTTTTCTTGAGTATACTCAACGCCATAGAAATGCTTAGCTGAACAGTGCCAAAGATCACCTGAGTGAATCTGGTTTCACCCTTAGGTGAGCTTTCAGCTAATTTTTTTTTTTTGGCTACCAGATAAGAACTTGACAGGAACTTTGATTTTCTCGGGGCCATTTTCTTTCTTTTAACCATTTTACATTCTTTTGTTTTGTTAAGTTGAAATTCTTTCTCAAACCTTAACTTGTTGTTCTGTCCCTTCGTTACCTTTGACAAATTTTTGACAGGTGACAAAGGGAAAGAAAAACAAAGTCCAGATTTTTCTTTGATTTCACACCAAGTTCTAAAAGCTTATATTACTAGACTTGTATGACAAAAGGTAAGGAGAATTAGTTTCAATATCTTGGTGGTGCAAGGGTAATTGTAGTGTAAATTATACTCATTTTTGCCTTTTTTAAACTTTTGCTTTGTATATAAAATGTGTTTTAAGAAGTTAACAATACTTGATTTAAATTCACACATCATTTTCTACGAATAATCTCCTACGTCTTATCAAAACAAGGCTCTTGTCTTTGTTGTGTTCTTGACATTCGCGTGCTGTCTTAGTTTGAATTGTAAAACAAAACCAGCGAGGCGTTAAAAACTCCTAGTTCATGGATGTGATTATATTTTAAAACATGTTCTGGCCCGAATTTCTACTTTCTCAAGGGTAAGTAAAAGTACTTCTGCAGACAGTTGGATCACTTCATTTGTGTTTTGGGTGAAGAATGAAACACGAGAGGCTTATTAGGTTTTGATAGTTCAGTGATCTTCGAGACTGGTGGTTATACCTAATTTTATCACACTGATCCTCGTTACAAAGAGCTATATCGTATTTGCATCAAACAATGGAATTGCAGCATTCTACTTCTAATTTAGAATATTTTTTATTCCTCTGCGAAGTCTCGATTCCTCGTCAAAATTTTTCGGGTTTACCCGATCTCAATTTACAGAGAACGACCGTAAGTAAAAATAAAGCATTACCCCAGCTACACTATATTTCAAAATTCTGGAAATTTGAGTTAAACTTACTTCAAAGTGAAGTTTTAATATCTTGCACGCAAGTAGTCCTCAGCCGTTTTGTAATGGAGTCGTAAGTAGAATGTCGTAGGCAGTTTAAACCGGTTTTTACCAGAGCCCACGGCCCGGTGGAGGTCTGGAACGTAGCGAGGAGATTATTTGGTTCTGAGCAAAACATGAGAAACAACTTCCGTCTCGCTAATGAAGCGAAGGAAAATTGAAACGTTCATGGAAATCTGTTAATGGAAACAAAAGTAAGGAAGAGGAAGACTAAGGACTTTTTGAGCTCATAGCTCATCCAGTTACGGGTTTCCTGTTGATATACAATGTCGAACCCAGAGTCATTTTGGCTCCTTGTCAGCTGTATGGTCGCCAAATAATAACCTCTGGGAGAATGGAATTTTATCCCAGAAATCGTGGTACTCCGCTTTCAACTTTGCATGACCACATTCTCATATAATGGCTTACGATTGATTTCTGCGCAGGCTCAAAATAAAGTGCACGGTCCTCTGCGACAACGAATGAAAAGAAGAACGTAATTACCTTAGTGTTCGGGAACTTAAAAGTCATCGTTACTAATCGAAAGTGGAAGTTATCAACTAGAAGAAAATATCGAAATTTTTTCTTGTGTGCCATCCAGTGCTCCTGGAAGTTTGGAAGTGAAAGATGAAGGGATAAGTGAATTGAAGTGATGGCCTTCTACCCGGTTTTTAACGCTGCTCCAACTGAAATCTCCAAGGGAAGACAACATACTACTCCTTGTTACATGTAGGATATAAAAGCTATCAGTTCCAGGTTTCTGTACACAGAGGCTTCTGCATTGTTCATCAATCTCCTCTAGAAACTGATATCACGATTTTGCACATGCTTTGACACTACAAGTAGGTAGCAACATAATAGTTTTTGCTTTTGCAGCTGGAAGGCTTGTCTGCGATGCAACCCAAAGCATATGTCACCTTCATACACAAATACATAAAATACATAAAACCTTCAGGATTTCTACGACCTTATTTCATTCCCTGTAGATTGCTTAGTTAAATTAGAGTTAAAGTATTGGTTATAAAAAAGGAGGATTTAATGTGTCGCAAGATTCATAGTTAAATATGAAAGGATTACCTCTATAGGCTTACTAAACAGACGATGGTTGGGGTTTGATCGCTCACGCAAAAACAACAGGTGGTGGCGAAGTCGCTCCCCCACCTCGTCTATGTTCTTTCCAATATGATCAATCTGACAGACACTTCTTAGCTGGGCCATAGCATCGTAGAGCTGTGATGCTTCATCTAACAGGAAAAAAAATGTAAAATTATACTCCATTGTCAACTCACAAATTCTTCCATCCCAGTGGTACTAGTGGGGTAACTGTCCATGATTGAAGACAAGTTATCTTTGGTGTAACTTTCTTTATTACCTCTACGTGTTCTTCTGTTGTGCGAAGAAATTTGATACTGATCATACCCCGGTATTTCTCAAATGTAGTTCTTACCGTCTAGTTCAATTTTCAGTCTTTGATTTTCTTGCATCAGTAATTCTTCATTCTTTTTCAGCCCGTTTATAACCTCTCCTGGACCATGAGCAATTTCGTTTGGATGCAGAGCGATAGAACACCGGTACTGTGATCTTAATGCTTGACGGTGATGGCTGGTAATCTAAGTGTTGCGTAACTTCTTGGCGATGTACTGCACCCTGCTGTACACGGCGGTGCCAAGGCGAGTACGAGAGGAGGACGACAATCTATACCCGGCGATTCTGGACAAGTTGTCATGTAGAGTCTCAAATAATTGACTGGGATTGCGAAGTTTCCTCCATTCCCAAAGAGCCTCTCCGTTCAGTTGCACATAGAACAAGGCATTGTAGCCGTTCAATAATGGCACAGACATGAATAAGAAAGCAGGGTTAATCGGGGATTCTACGAGCTCTGAAGAGAGCTCCCGATCAACGCGTTGCATTTCTTGCACGGAGCACATTTTCAATGAGTCACAGAACTTGAACTTTTCTCAAGCGTTTTTGCAGCACATTTGCTGTGGCTGGTGATGGTGTTTATCTAAATTAGATCTCAATGGGCGACAATAATATGAGTCGATAAGGCGTTGTCAATGGTTACGCTTAAACAAACCTGTCGGTTTTAACCATGTTTATTAAACATGTTATGAAAAGTTCTTTCCGTGTATTTAAGCGACATAGCAATGCCCATGATTATTGGAGTTGTTTTTATTTTGTGTCGTGAACATGATCGACGCGTTACGAGATTTTTCTTCAGAATAAATATCTAGAAGTAGGAAACAAAACTCAGTAACGTTTCACTACGATTTCAGAGTTTACAAAGTTCTTGTGTGGTAGCGTTTCGTTTTGACGTGGAGATGGAGGTTACAATACAATATACTCGCGGGAGTTTTGAAAGAAGTCAGTTCTGTTCTCATAGGGTTCACCTGTGGCAAAAACAAGAGAGATTAGAAGTCATTTCAGAAATTCTGGCAAAGCCAGAACTTTCAACCGTCAAAACCGTTCAAAGGTTTGTGTAACGCTTTAATGGAAGCTTAACTGTCATTACCACATGCTAAAACAGAGGTTATGGTATTAGCTCAAGAGAAATCGAGCCTTGATGTGAATGAAAAGAGTCTAAAGCAACTTCCCACACTCACTGGTTACTAAAATTGGCCAAATTTCAAATAAAAATAGCCAGGGGTTAGAGAAGGTACAAAATGGCGAGAATGGAAAAGTATTTTTTATTGATTCCTCTTCTATAACAGCCATATGCCAAAAGTGATATATGAAATGTTGCGTAGTTTGGACGAAATCAAAAAATACATAAGCCCTCTTGGACATTTTCGGATTAATTTCTCTTTTGTTTTAAGCCCGCTTCGTTAATCAACTTTCAAATTTACCGCTGGCGGCGCAGTCAAGGTCGGATATGTCGTTGCATTCTGGGCAAGGGCAGGTATTGGATATATGATTATACACGAACCCTTTCTTTTTTCCTGGTACCTATTTCTCTGGCACGAGCACATACTCAGATTTGGCCGCACCGACATCGACAACAAGCCCGGAAGGTTACGCTGTCAGCGCCGTGTGTGTGTGGGTAGCAACAATAACTATGGGGACATCGCATTTGCTAAACGATGTGCGCAAATGGATTGGATCATGAACATTGGATTAGCCTACGTGTAGCCGTACCCAACTCCTTAAGGTGAAACGGAAAGGGAGGGTTCCCTCCCTTCCGTTTCACCCTGGGGGGGGGGGGCACACGTAGGGCAACATTGGATGGTCTTTCTCTTATGCACCGCTGCATATTCCTGATAATAATGTGCGCGACAGTACGAACCAAACTCGGGCCTAACGGATTGGCGACTGCTGCTAGCGTGAACAATTTTCTGGGAAAGAACAAGGAGCTGACTAGAAATTCGTTCATTGTGACAGCTGAGTGCCTCCCTTGCTTGCGGGGGACCGAGTGGTGTAATCTACAATGTGTCTTTATCTGTGTTCAGCGAGGTGTAATCCTGTGGGATGAAACAGCTGTATACAGCTTCAACTTCCCACATATGACTTATCCTCTTATAAATCAATTATTTACAGTTTAGAACATTCCATGTTTTGAAAAGCGTTTGAAAGAGGAATTGATTAAAAAACACTTCTGAACAATACTGAGTGGGACATTGTAGGGCCTAGAGCCTTTAGCTCTCAGTGATGAAGTATGTCAGAAAACGACCGGAAAACCAACTGAACATCAACTCGATGAAGTCAGCATTCTGTAAATTTTTTTGTGGTGTTTGGTGGATGACACAACTTCAACTGCTGCTCGTAAAGTGGGTACAGATGAGTCTGCAGATGCCATTTGCAAGGTTCTCCCAATCTTGGCCCTCGTATGCCCATCCCTTACAGAGCAAGATGGTGGGGAAAACGCCTTGAGAACGAAGATAAGTGTTCTCTTCCCCAAAGGAAACAGAAATCTGAACGAAAATTATCGGTTTTGAAAACTGAATAGGGGAACCTTTGTTGGGGAAGGTGGGTTGTCTAGGTTGACTAACTCTGGTGCCTTTCCCGTGATGAAAACAGAGGACTAGGACCAGCTTTTTCTATTAATGCCCAGATTTCCGCGCGGTTAATCTAAGCATCAGTTAACGGATGATGTGGCGTGACAATCAAGGAACTGACTTATGACTTTATTTTCGTTGAGAGTTTTGAGAACAACCCTGGTGGTTGCAAGGAACACTGAAACAAGCAGAGGCTTTGGTGTGTTTACAGCCATGCTGCGTAAAGAGGATGTTGCTTCCATGAGAAGAAACTATGAAATGCCCGATGGCTTCGATGAATCTCATCTTGTGGCAAAGGAACCTTTTATGCAGTTCGATGCGTGGTTCAGAGAAGCTTCCAAAAGTCCTAATATCGGAGAGGCAAATGCCATGATTCTATCCACATGCGGAAGGTTTGTGGTGATTTTTCTCATCTTTTCAATTACTTTTAATGTATTCTTTAGCATCACCCGGTACCTCTTACATAGCATTATTGTTATGATGTTCGCCATATTGGATTATCAACCGTTTCAGCGGCGTTAGGAATGGAAAGAGTTTCTTTCTCAAACTACTGTTTCTTCTGCAGGGACTGTCGTCCTACAGCAAGAGTGGTGTTGTTAAAAGGCTATGATAACACAGGATTCACTTTCTTCACTAATTATAACAGCTCAAAAGCAGGACAATTGGTGAGCTTACCGTATTATGTAATCATGGTTATGTAATGTTTTCAATCTTACAACTGAATTAACATTCGCATTTTTGGAAGCACGAGTGTTGCTGAGATGTTTTTCGAATTTCAAAACTAGATACATACAATCTATGCTGATCATTCTGAGTACTTCTTTTGTTTAAATGTTTGTGTAAAGAGGGAGGGGAGGGTTGGGCGAGTCAAACTCTCAAGGGACGTTGCATTGATGTAAGGTACTGAACTTCACTTTTATTTTAATGATAAGCTGAATTATACTTTTATTTTGATTGGTTCTTTCTTATAATCCATTGGAGGACACATGCATTGATGATGCCACCATTGACAAAATTTTATGTTTAATTTATATGAATTAAAAGGATTCCATGTTGCAGTGGTCTTGTTCAGTAATAGATCACAAAAGATGTCAAGCTGTGGTAAGAACGTTAGTGACACTCAGCTATACCACATTTTAGTGTCATGCTTGATTTATCACAGAACAGATACATGGCAATATGGAGTCTACATGTATTTTTTGAATAAGGGTGCAGGTCACAACTGTTATCCCAACATAGAGTAAAGTGTTGAGGTGTTGCAAGTATCTTAAAGCAATCAAGGTATCAGGTTGATTATTGGTGCAAATAAAGTAGCCAACCAAAATATTACTGGATAGGTTCATCTTTACTGCTTAGTAAACATATTTAGCAAGAGAACCAGCCGAAATTTCATTGACAGAACCACTAATAGTGCACTTTGTTCATGCACTGTCACTTACCTCAGTATGACATACTATATTATTGTGTATGTCCATATCACCATTTGCCTACTCAGTTCTAGCTAATCCAGTGAATATAAGCCCAGTTTGCAGTCCTCTGGTAATCTGACCTGCACTTGTCATCTCTCCCATACACATGAAATGAAAGTTAACAAAATGTACCATCTCAATCAAGTCACATCTTTCACAGTGATTTCAAGTTTTTAATACAACGTCACAATCTCAGGCTGGAGTCTTGCATGCAAAAAATGTGTGAAGGTTTTGTTGTCAGCCATCTACCTCTGAGCTGTTCTGTAACCAATAAGAGGATGGTATTTACTCAGGAAGAACCAAAAGGTAGATATGAACTTGGATACTATGGCTAACTTCTGTTTTTTTTTTCAGAAAGAAAACCCTTATGCTTCATTATTATTTTATTGGGACCCTTTGCACCGACAGGTAAAACTGTAAGCTTTTGTTTATGCATTGTTTTACTTTCCCCTCAACTTCAAGAACATCATGTAAACTGCTATATTTTTAATTTTCTTATTACTTTTTGTAGTTTGTTTCTTTTCCTTCATTAACAAAGAATTGTAGACAAGATTTAAATCATCTTGTAGCTATCAATGCTTCTATAGCTGATTTGCTAAAGAGATGAAATTGTTAAACATCCCTACAGGGGGAAGCAAAGGGGGGCTCCTGGTCACATTTTGTGCAAGAATTTAAGAAAAATTCACATGTCACGGATATATAAGGGGGAAAGTCAAATCTCTTTACCAGTGCACAAGGTTTCAGAGAAATTTTGAGGTAATCATAAACTGAAAGAAAAATTCTTAGGTCACATATATTTTTGGAGGCAAATCACAAATTTGAATAAATCATGCTTGCCTTTCCATAAAGTTCACACACCAAGAATCAATTTTGGTCTTAATCATGGGTCATGTTTAAACTCTTTGCCACCCTTCAAGGTTACTTTTTTAAGGGAGGACTGGGAATGGTTACACCTCAGGCAGTTTGAGCAAATTGGAAACATGTTAAATTTCATCTTAACTTTCTTACCTTCCCCTTATTAATGTTTATCTAGGTGAGAGTTGAAGGGAGAGTGGAAAAACTGTCACAAAAAGAGAGTGAGGAGTATTTTCACTCTCGTCCTCGTTCAAGTCAGATAGGAGCCATTGTCAGTAATCAGAGCTCAGTTATTGCAAGTAGAAAGGTGTGTATTTTCAAATATATATGATTGAGTCAGATTGATATTACTAGTCTGTATTACCATAATCCTAGCATGTTATCTCATATTTTAAAGTTTTTTATTTTTTAAGGGAGATCTGCTCCACATGCCTAACCCTCTCATCCCTAAGAGTAACCAGTATCTAATTTCTGCTCAACAACTAATCACATATGAAGGTCACAAATTCTCCTTTCTAGCACTGAAGGAAATGTATAGAGAATATTATGGAGAATATGCATATTGATGTTAGGGTGTAAATGGTTAAGAAGTTGTTTCTTGTTGTGGAACTCTTATTAATTATGGGATATTCCTGTTAATAAATGAATGTGTGCAAGCATAGGCTCATTGTGTTAGAGGTCTTCATGATTAGGATTTTCATTACCTCTGAGGTACTAACTATGATTATCAGTCAAGCAAGACATGGCAGAAGTTTGGTGACCACATTTCAACATTAAAACTTGTTGGCTGTGTTTCCAGTGGCAAATTGTCATTTACTAAACTTGTCTAGGCGAGTTTTCATGTCTTATATTAGGCAACACATGGCTCTTGAGATTTGGTTAGCCTGCAAACGAAGAAGGTTGCCTGTGACAATACCATTATTTCACTGTTATACAGTCAAAACTCCATCATCAAATTTTTTCCACACCTCACTCAACTGATTATTGGCTGTTGGAAATGAAGACTTTGATGATTATTAAGTTTTTAATTAAATCTGCTTTACCTCCTCAATTAGGTTAATTGTTGAGGTAATTTCCAAAACCCAGGGATCTGAGAAGCAAAGTTTGGTTGTCATAAACTTATGTTTTTGTATTCACATTAAATAACATTTTCTGTGGGTACCTGCTCTTATATTATTCACTGTAAATACAAGAACACATTAAGTTTGTGCAGTTTCCTTGTTGGAATTCCACTAGCTTCATTCAACTGACATTAAACTTAAAAGGTGTCCTTTACACTAAAGTGCAATCAATAATGTTATTTCAAACTACATGCTTTTCATTGCTTGTTTACCTATCACCCATTCTTAAACTCCTGAAAACATTATCATACAGCATGTAAGTGAAGATGTCAAACTTTGTTTCTAAAGTGGAGCCAAGTGTTATAGGACTTTTTTGAGAATGCCTCATTTTTAAAGTGGAAAGTGGCAAGGGGGGGGGACACACATTCATATAGTGTCATTACCATTACCATTTTCAGGAAGTGGTGTGTACAGAAACAATAGGAGCAAACAAATCAAAAGGGTGTATAGATGTAGAAGCAAGCACATATCAAACAAAAATGATGATATGGATTAGATAAAGCCAAAATGCAAAGAGGAAAGAAGAAAAAGAACAACTCTTTGATTCTGGTTCTTCTAAATCCTTGATATGTCCATGATTAATGCTGTCAAGGTTCATGGCATCCATTAGGTTTTTCCGTGAAATTAACTAAACATGGTTTAATATTTCTGTGATATACATTATTTAAAGGTTTTGGAAGTAAAGGAGAAGGAACTTAAAGAGCAATATGCTGATGAACAAAAAGTGATTCCAAAACCAGATAATTGGTAAGTGGTCACTTTATAGTGAAGCACATTTACATGGGGTAACAAATCCGATACTTCCAAGAATTTTATTCTTTAGAACAAAAAAAATATATTATTTCATAAAGGAGCATGGTATAGTGTTGCAAAGCATTGTCTACTTTCCTTTAAAGCAATACCGGTACTTGTGTTATAAATTAGTTAAATATCACCTAACAGAATTATTGTATTATTTTTTAGGGGTGGTTTTAAAGTAATTCCAGATAAAGTTGAATTCTGGCAAGGGCAATCCAGTAGACTCCATGACAGGATTGTTTTCCGTAAACAAGAAGCAGATGAAGTTCTTGCTGAAAATGTAACAAAGAAAGGAGACAATGGATGGGTCTATGAGAGACTTTCACCTTAAGGGCCACGGCAAGATAAAATTAATATTGTAACAGTTATAGATATTATAAGACTTACACGTACAATGTTATAGTTGAAAAAACTAAAATTTGCTATGTTTTAATTGACTCTGTAAGCTTTTTGTGGAATGTATATTTTTTTCTTTGTATTAAAATGTGCAATATAACTAAGGTACCTTAGCCCCTTCCTAATAAATGAAAGGAGATTCTATCTAACAGTTGTAGGAATTGCTACTATTGGAGTGATATCACTATATCTCTACAGAAGAAGCCATCTAGATAATTTTAAAAGAACACTTTTCATGGATTACTCTTCTCAGTATTAATGTGGTCGTATGAGCATAATAATAATAACGAATTTTTATACAGGATTGAAAAACCCATCAGTGTGTAACACTGTTGTCCTTGGGGTCCTGTCAAAAATAATAAATAAATAAATAAAATAAAATTTAACAAGATATAATCATTGATCTTAAGGTCTAGAAAAGCATACAATAAAATGAAAAAAAAAAAATTAAAAATTAAATAAAAATGCTCTGAAAAGGATACCTATAACCACGTTTAGATAGAATTTAACTAAAATAATCTCGCAATTTGTTCTTAAATTTCAGTCTCGAATCTAACGACCTTAGTTCAGCAGGCAGGTTGTTGAAAGTCTTTGCTCCTTGGTAATAGAAGCTCTTTTTACCAAATTCTAAACGAACTTTGGGTAATTTCACTGATATACCGTTATTCCTAGTGGCCTTAGAATGAACCAGCCTTTCGAAGTAGTTCTTAAAGGGTGTGCAAACATTATTCAGGAGACAGTCGAAAACAAACAGACAGCTTTTACGCTTGATCAAATTGTTCACGGATGGGGGATTAAAAGAACTATTGCCGATAACTTTAAAGCCTCGTCGTTCGATGTTCTTTATCATTTCCTTTCGGTAATCCGGAAAGCTAAGACCAAGTGTTCCGCAATAGGTAAAGATAGGTGCGATCATAGTGTTATAGATCGATTCTGCACACTTTTGGTCGATCAAAGGACGAATTGATCGCAAGAGATTGATTCTGGTTGCAGCTTTTTTATAGATTCGGTCAAAATGTGATGCGAGGTTTAGTGATGAGTCAAGGTGAACACCTAAGTACTTATAGGTAGAGGTATTATTGATGAGTGACCCATTAGCAGAAAGTTTAAGTTCCTTGTCTTGAAGGTTGATTCTTTTAGCTGTTCCAAATAACATAGACTCCGTCTTGTCCTTTTTTAGGTTAATGATCAGTTCGTTGTCTTTAAACCACTCGCACAGGTTATTCATATCCTCGCTAAGGCTTCTCTGTATAGTATCAATATCTTTAGAAGAGGTATAGATGACTGAATCGTCGGCATAAGTGATAATCTTCGAGTGTTGAAGCGGTTTATGTACATCGTTGAAAAAGATAATGAATAAGATAGGACCCAGGATACTTCCCTGAGGAACACCTGTGAGAATGGGTTGAGGTTCTGATAGCACGCCTTTATATTGGACAACTTGTGATCTGCAGAAAAGGTAATCAGTGAACCATGCGAGTTCTGTTCCACGAACTCCGTAAGTTGAAAGCTTGCTCAGGAGGCCAGAGTGACTGATGGTGTCAAACGCCTTGGATAGATCGATGAAAACACAGCCTGTCAGGTTACCATTCTCACCTTCTCTTCTGATAACATCGGTAAGATGAGTAACGGCCAGTTCAGTAGAGCGCATGCGACGGAAGCCGTACTGAAAATGAGAAAGTAGACCATTCTGTTCAAAATGAGCCATCAGCTGCTTAAATACCACTTTCTCCAGGATCTTTGACATTGAAGGAAGTATTGAAATAGGCCTATAATTGTCGATTTCGGCCATTGAACCAGATTTAAAAAGTGGTACAATTTTAGCCGCTTTCCAGTCAGTAGGTACAGACCCAGTTGCGAGAGACAGGTTAATTATATGCGTGAGAGGCTTGGCTATTATATCAGCAGAGTCCTTTAACATTCCAGAAGGAAAGTTGTCAAGGCCAGAGGACTTATTTCTCTTAAGGCTCTTTAATGCATTAAAGACAACCTTTTCCGAGACTGATCTAAACTCAAAGTTCTCTAGCGGCTGCTGGGTGTCTATTGTAAGGGGCCTTTTCCAGACAAAATTGCAAAGAGGGAAGATCTTTCTTTTTAGAGATCGCGCAACATCAGTGAAGAATTTGCAGAACAAATTTGCAATAACCTCTTTGTCGGTTTCTACTGCTTCATTAACGAGAAAAGCTGCTCCTGGTTCCTTTGTAGACTTTGTAGGGTATAGTTTTTTAATAGCTGACCAAAATTTGTTAGGTGAACCCACAGTCTCCTCTAAGAGTTCACGGTGATACCTGCTTTTGCAATTTTTTACCATACCGTTAACTTTGTTTCGTTGGCGCTTGTACGAAGACCAGTCAATTTCACGATTTGTCTTTCTCGCTTTTCTCAAAAGCTGATCTTTGGTATTCATTTCTTGCTTTACCTTCTGTGTAAGCCATGGGCTGAGTTTCCCTTTGATCCTCTTCTTTATAGCTGGCGCATGCTTATCAATACATTCTTTCAGAATGGCTTTCAAAAAAGACCATGCTTCATTAACGCAGGAGGATTTAAAGACAGGTGTGAAACTATTGGACCGTAAATCATTGCAAAAGGATATAGGATCATAATTAGCATAGTTTCGACAGGTGATGGTTCTTGGCTGGAATTTATGGTTATGCAGCTTCCGGACACAACCAATCATATCATGGTCACTTAAGCCGGCGGGAATGACTTTAACACTATAAACATTCTGAGGGCGATTTGTGTAAATCACATCTATCAGTGTTTTTGAATCTTGCGTTACCCTCGTGGGATCCTTGATTAGCTGTTTAAGGCCAAAAGACAATAGCATTGCCTTCAGTTCTTTGTTGTCTGAGCTTACCAAATAGTTGCAGTTGATATCGCCTGTCAAAATGCATTCTTTGTTTTCAGATGATACAGCAGAAAGCATCGACTCCAGTTTATTTTCAAAATCTGCACAAAGATGCTTTGAAGAACTCGGGGGCGATAAATAAAACCAATAAGGATACCCTTAGATTTTGGAAATAGAATTTCTATCCAGATACATTCGATCCCATCGCGTTCCAGGTCTAGTCTTCTATGAAAGGGGACAGAAGAGGAGATATAAACTCCCACACCTCCACCTTTGCCTGTTTTCCTTGGTCTATTAATGAACGTATAGCCATCCAGTTGAACTTGAGCCTCTTCACTGTCCGATAAATGAGTCTCACTGAGGGATATGATGTCTATATGCTTGGAATCATCGATCATTTGGCATAGACTATCCCTGTTCGCCACGAGGCCTCTGATATTTTGATGAATAATTGTAAGCCCATTTTTCGTTGACAAATCCCGAAGATCAGACAGGGTGTCATGTGAACTAGAGGAGCCAACAGGACCAGGTTGAAGTTCAACATCATTTGCGAGACGAATGAGTAGTAAGGAAAGAGAGGAATTAATCGCAAAACGGCATCCAAGGAGTAGAAGTCTTGAATTCGGCAACTGGAGATTCTTTGCATGTTGCGAGCTCGGTGACCGATGGTTAAAAGGTTGAATTCTCACTGTCGTCAGACCGTGAGAAATGAAGAGAAGAGTATCACCAGATATATCGAGGTCAGGATTAGCCTTGGGAAGGAGTGCACCAGAGAAACAAACGTAGAAATAAAGCAGAATGATCCAGCATCTAAGAGCTCTAAAAACGTGACCGTCCGCCATATTGTAGCAGGCAGAGAATATCCCCTACCCCAATGTAGAAAATTTTCTTAGCTCTCTTATCATGTGGGTTAAACCGTGTATTAAAGTTGTGACAAGGAGTGATTAGAATGAGGAAGAGAAGGTAATATTTTAAAACAATTTTGTAAATACTTTTAAGATAAATATCAATAAAAAGTGTTGTAATGGTTTAATGTTTGCCATTTGCAATTTACATTCAAATCTATTGTAATATAATGTAATACAAGGTAAATTTAATAAAGAAAAGTGTTCAGTTCTTGGGTTAAAAAGAAAATACTATAAAAGATGCAGATCCTAAAAGCTTACATAAAGTTTTACAGAAAGATCATCTTGTCACATGCATGGGAATTGAACCTCACACCTTAAGATTCCACACATCCAGTGTTCAACCAGTGAGCTGCTGTGAACTCTCTGATGAAGCTTAACTACTTTGTTTATGTGTGACATCCATTCTGCGCACCGTAAGGATCAACAATCTTTAATAAACAAGCTGTGTGAG